ATTAACCATGAAACAAAATTCAATTCTTACCATGCTTAAATTTCAACACAACTAGTTGCAGTTAATGCAAGTTCAAATATTGCAATATTCAAGTTAATATGAATTGTAAATGGATGCCGGGTTGTGTTTAATACGATCAAAAATTTAGTTAATGTGAAGCTAGTGTAGCACAATTGAAGCTTATGCGTGCACAGGTCTGACTACGGTTTTAGACACTACTAACCTGTGTGTGCAAAATGGGGAAAAAGAAGATTCCACCAGAAAAAACAGTACAACAGTACAAACAGTACAATTAGAACAAAAATTTGATGACATTGAACAACATGAATATGCTCATAGCAAGTCTACAATAGGATGAAGTGTTGGAATGTCTGAATAAACTGTCTGAATATACAATAATTGTTATTTTGCTTTTTATAACCACACTATAATTTTATTAACCATAATTTAATTTAATTTAATTTAATTTCGAATTTATATACCGCCCTTCTCCCTGAGGACTCAGGGCGGTGTACAGCCAAGATAAAAAAACATAGAATACAAATATTAAAACATTTAAAAATATATATAAAATTTGGCCCAAAAAATTAAAAATCGCAGACTAATTAAAAGGATTTAAAAATTTTAAAATTTCTTCTTAAGCCAACCCGGCTTGCTGAAAAAGATAGGTTTTCAGGGAACGACGGAAGGCATTGAGGTCCTGGATTCTTCTTATCTCCGGGGGCAACTGATTCCAGAGGGTGGGAGCCCCCACAGAGAAAGCCCTCCCCCTGGGGGCCACCAGCCTACATTGTTTGGCTGATGGCACCCTGAGGAGGCCCTCTCTGTGGGAGCGCACGGGTCGATGGGAGGTCATCGGTAGCAGCAGGCGGTCTCGGAGATAGCTAGGCCCTATGCCATGGAGCGCTTTAAAGGTGATAACCAACACCTTGAAGCGCACCCGGAAGACCACCGGGAGCCAGTGCAGCTCGCGCAGGAGTGGTGTTACATGGGAGCGCCATGTTGCTCCCATCACTACCCGCGCTGCTGCATTCTGGACCAGCTGGAGCCTCCGGGTGCTCTTCAAGGGGAGCCCCATGTAGAGAGCGTTACAGTAGTCAAGGCGAGAGGTGACGAGGGCATGAGTGACTGTGCACAGGGAATCCCGATCAAGAAAGGGCCGCAACTGGCGAATCAGGCGAACCTGATAAAAGGTCCCCCTGGTAACAGCCGTCAGATGTTCCTCCAAAGACAGCTGCCTATCCAGGAGGACTCCCAGATTGCGAGCCCTTTCAGTGGGGGCCAAAGACTCGCCCCCAATAGTCAGTGATGGAGTCAACTGACTATATCGGGATGCCGGGAGCCACAGCCACTCAGTCTTGGAAGGGTTGAGCCTGAGCCTGTTCCTCCCCATCCAGATCCGCATATATGTATACATATATATATGTATACATATAAATATGTATTGGAATATATTATTTCATTAATATGCATACTGAAACAATATGTTTTAATTTTTTTCATTGCTTATTTCTTTCAAGCTGGAACAATTACCATATTTTTCCTAGAAGTATCACTTCAAATAATGCAAGTTCAAATAATGTGACCATTTATTGGGATTCATTCACTCTCTCAATTGAGACCTATCTATGGTATCTTTCTTGGAGTTTCTGTTATCTGCAATAATTACATATAGGGTCTAATACGGATGGGAAAGATCAGAGATACATCAGTTAGCTAAGCAGAATGTCTGGGCTTCCCAAAAAGTAGTTGTGTCCCTCCATCATGGCTTATATCCTGCTTACTGTGGAAATCTATCTGTGTTGGAGGCTTATATGCTTAATGACATATAGTGATAACAATTATAATGTGTTATTATTATTTTCCAAGAAAATACAGCAAACAAATTTTTTCAGATTATTGTATAATGTAACATATGATTTTTAAAATAAAAATAAAAATTCAACTACAGGTAGTCCTCGACTTACAACAGTCTGCTTAATGACCGTTCAAAATTACAATGGCACTGAAAAAAGTGACTTATGACCGTTTTTCAGTTATGACCTTTGCGGCATCCCCATGATCATGCGATCAAAATTAAGATGTTTGCCATAAGTATGTGGTTCATACTTATGATCGTTGTAACAACCCAGGCAATGGTGGGATTCAAGTAATTTAACAACCGGTTCTCTGCCCTAATGATTTCTTCCAACAACCAGTTTGCCAAACTGCTCAGAAAGTTAACAACCGGTTCTCCTGAAGTGGTGCGAACTGGCTGAATCCCACCACTGATCCCAGGGTCATATGATCCCCTTTTGCGACCTTCTGACAAGCAAAGTCAGTGGGGAAGCCAGATTCACTTAACAACCAGGTTACTAACTTATCAACTGCAATGATTCAGTTAACAACTGTGGCAAGAAATGTCATAAAATGGGGCCAAACTCACTTAACAAAAGTTTCACTTAACAACAGAAATGTTGGGCTCAATTGTGGTCATAAGTCGAGGGCTACCGGTGCTCACTCCATGTTCCTTTGCATTTCTTTCTCTTTAATATTGTGCTATGGAAGTGTGTTCTCCAGACATATGCTTGGCTTCTTGATGTACAGCAGCATCTCCTAGTGGACATAATTTTTAGGTTATATTGCAGATTGAAAATTAAGACTGATTTCTCATATATTCTCAGCGTCTTTATTTAAAACTATATTTTCGACTAGTACATGAATTTTTGGGAACGCAACTTACAAATTTACAAACAAAAAGAGATTTTTATCTCACACCAAACTGCTTTAACCAAGTCAGGTTTCTGTTCCATTCAAAGTGGATAAAAATTGATGATTTTTTAAAAAATGTTTCTTTAAATCATTTTTTTTAGTTAAATCAGATTTTTTTTTACTTAAATCGGATTTTATTTTTATCTAATTTATTTTAATAAAATGCTTTTTGAGTAAAAAATCTATCTAAAATAATTTTCTATTTAAGATACATTAATAATTCAGTTTATTCAGCATGAAATGGAGCTTAGTTATGTAGCATGAGGCTGTATATTCTGCAATATTTACAGTTTTTGTAAACTCTTTCAATAAATCCAAGCTCTGCAAGCTGAGATAACATTCACACAATTTCACAGTAACCATGAGATAAATCATAAAACAAAGTTCAGGAATATTCCTTTATCCCATTGTTTTGCAAATCTATGTACACTACAAACTCTATGATTGTTTGAAGAGAAATGCAGCTGTATCGCCAGGTTCTAAGTGAGGAGGAAGGGCAAGCAGTAAAAAATGAAAGTGAAACCTTCTAAGCAGCTTATAAATATAATATTAAAGAGCACCTGTCATTTCAGATCCATCATGGCAGCGCCTGTTAGTGGGCATCTACTCACTTGCTGCCTGCCACATCCCTCACCTTGATGTATCAATGCCACATCACCAGTCATCCCATTAAAATGAATAGGACTGTCGGTGAGTCAACAGTGGGTCAGAGAAGGAACTGCTGCGGGACAGAGATGACAGTTGCTCTTTAAATATTATGATTTAAATTAAATTGATTTAAATCAAGCCTTTTTATTAGTGATTTAAATCATGGTTTAAATTGACTTGATTTAAATCAAATCCACCCTGGTTCCATTGACTCAGATTAGCAGACCTGATCAATGGTGGTGCTTTAGAATTTAGAATTCCAGAGAGGGATATCATCCTTACTTGGTTATACTAAGAATAGAATTGGTGCTTCTGTGTGCCAAGACAATAGCATTCCTCAAGTTCTCAAAAATTTGCAACACTGAGAAAATATTTAGCCGTGACTGACAAAATTCAGGGGGGAGAAACCATACATGAACCATCCTCTATGTCACGGGTGTCAAACTCGATCACGTCATGTGATGTCATGTGATGAATCGCAATGGTTTTTGCCTTTGCGGAGCTGGGATGGGCGTGATCTGTGCGTGATGCATCTGGTTCGTGGGCTGCCAGTTTGACAATCCTGCTCTATGTGGTTGGTAACAAGTTTAACATCCAACTTTTTTGTGGTAATTGGAGCACTGTAAAATTATCATGGTGATTCCTGAATACTAGCAATATAGTCCTTGCCTTATGGCAATTAGGACCAGAATTTCCATTTCTAAGCAAGGCAGTTAGGTGAATTGCATGCATTTTTATGACTTTTATTGCCACAGATAAGTGAATCCAGCTTTCTCCATTAACATTGTATGCTGGCTGAGAAGGTCACAAATGGCAACCAGGATCTGCCATGTTGTAAATATATGCTGGTTACCAAGCACCTGAATTTTGATAACCTGACATGGGATACTGTGATGGTCATGTGAGGACCGTAAGTCACTTTTTTCAGTGCTGCTGTCACTTTGGTTGCTAAATGACTACCTATAGCACAGGACATGCTCACCCCGGCTCTGTGAAGGCAAAAAACGTCATGATACATCACATGACATTGTGACGTGGTGAGCTTGACATTCGTGACCTATAGGATTTCAAGTATTTTGAGATTGGAAATATTGCAAAAAGGCCCCAAAATAGGTTTTACATTTTTAAAAAATCCTCTTAACTTTAAAAAAAGAGAAAATAAGCCAAGATCTATCCAGATATATATGAGCATTTTGTGATGTGATCTCACTCATTTCTGCCAACAAATCTGAAGTGTAACCATGTTTAAATGTTACTGATATAGGATAGAGAAAATTGTTGAAAGAAATATGATAGTTACGTAAATTCACTACCACTGGAAAAGCTTTAGCCCAAATGAATTTTCCTCATTGTTTTCTAAAAAAAATTGATTGAGGTTGAGATGGATTATTATAAATCTATTACTATGTGTTTTCACAAATTTCCCCATGTTTTAAATTAGGGACCAAGCTGAATTACATTTTTAAATTTCTAAATAATGTGATGTTGCATTTATGTTTGCACCATATGTGAACAGGCCCCAAATAATTTTAAAAACTCTTTTTTAAAAAAGATAAAATAAATTACAAAAGGGAGAAAGCAGTTATGCCACACAATAGAAATGTTGTATAGCAAGTGATAAATTTATTGGCATTGGTTAGATTAGAAATACTTTTATAATTTACCAATAATCAGAAGTACAATCATCATAGAATTCACCTTGCATGAGGCAAAACTGCATTAAAAATACATCAACATGGCAAATATATTTATGCATTTTAAAGTCAGTGTTTTTAATTGAATCAAAATTGAACAGACTGTTCCAGAAAATGTAACCACATTATTAAGGTGAGCTAAATTTATACAGAGCTGCTGGAAGTCTGGTTTGCAAATTGTCAGCACATCTGGATTTATCAACAGATGGTTTCATACAAAACAAAACCTACATTTAGAAGGTAGTTTATTAGCTTTCAGTTTAAAGGCAAAACAACAATCGCTCTTAGAAACATATGTAGCTGTCTCATTTTCACAAGATAATTTTTTTTGTATGTATGTATGCATGTATGTATGTATGTATGTATATATGCATGTATATTTTTTGTTAGAAATAAACCTGAACTTGTTGTTTCTCATTCCTGAAAGCTTTCAGGTACCAAGTTAGGATTACTTCATTATCTTATTTGGCTCAGAATAGACATTTACATATACATTTACACGAACATATATAGATATATCTTCTCTCTCTCTCTCTCTCTCTCACACACACACACACAAGTTCAGGTTTATTCCTAACAAGACTCCAACTTGAAATGGAGCTATACTACAGAAAGTGTGTTGCACAAAGTTTTTCCTGAATTTATAGCTTCTGTAATATCCTGTAATATAGTCACGCCTATATTACCCTTTGTCCAACTTTGTCCAACTTTGGCTAGTGTGCCATTGCAGCTGTCTCTAAAATGTGAGGCTTTATTGATAGTCACTTATGTTTTTCTCACCTTGTAACTGCTGCAGTTGGCTCTATGTGGCGCTTGCCCTTGAGGACCAATCAGAAAGTAGACCTGATTCAAAAGGTACCTGCTTGCCTAGTAACAGGTGAAGTCTAATAATAGCCATGAAATACCAATATTGCAGGAGCTGCCTCAGAAAGCAGCCTGCCTGCATTTGATTAAACTGTGCTCTATCTGAATGTCATAGTGTTATAGTTTATAGTTTATAGTTTATTTGATTTGTATACCGCCCTACTCCCGAAGGACTCAGGGCGGTGAACAGCCAACAATAAAATAGTGTGATGGTTGTTTTTTTTTTTTTAAAAAAAATACTGGTGGTATATTTATTGCAAAGGTGGCAATGGACACAGTAACACGTGATACTGGACATTATGGTTTTTACTAGTTATTTGTATTAAGTATTTACAACAGGACTAAACAACACCGTTCTGATGTCAGGTTTCCTCCCAGGTGTCCCTCCCAGTGACTTCTACCTCTCTCTCTTCTGCTTCCTTCTTTCTTTATATCTCCCTCTAGTTTCTGGCTTGATGTGTGTGTGTAAAAAATAAAGGATTGGACTTTATATAGTTGTTCAGTGTGGCTTGAATATTCTCCTCACAGCCGAAACATCTATTACTTCTCCATTGGAGGATGAACCTCTCTCAGGGTCTTCTGCCGAGTTTCCCCCCAGCTTCTCTATTGACAGCTGATTCCTGCTGCTCCCTCCAGGATCTTTGATGTAGCTGACATCTGCAGCCAGCCAAATCCATCCTTCCCATTCCTGGGTCTTCTGGGGAGCTTTCATTCCACTGGGTCTTTACTTCCCTTCTTCCAAGAAAGTCACTCTGGACTGTTCTTCTCACTCTAAACAGGAGCCAACAAATGTTCAGCACACTTCAATTCTCTGTCCAACTTCTCCCTTTCCAGCTATTCTGTTTACTCCAATTACTGTCTTTTACCTCCACTTCTCTCCACTCCTCTTCTCTTTGTCCATTTTTTTGTTATACTAACAGTATATCCTACGGGAACTTAAAAGGTGGATATCATGTCCCCCTCCCCTTAAGCCCCCAACACCTGTGAACTTTGTTATATGGGGCACCTGTCATAAAATCTCCCCACACCAGCCATCACTAGCAGCCGGGTCAGCTCATGGAGCCTCTTAATAGAGCAGCTGCCCTTCAAGGCCAGAATACGGGGGAGGGGTGGTGGTGGTTCCCTTTTACTCACTCAGCAGCAAGTGCCAAGCCGCTCAAATCCATAGGATACATTAACAAAGAAAGCAGCTGCTATAATTGTATTTTCATGCATTTAGGGTCTCGTAAGTATTTCAGGGTAACATTGCATTGCAAAATAAGAGCTTAAAATGTTTCAAATGAAATATTCCATTAAAAGTCTAAAGCTCCCTTTTTAAAGGATTTAAAAATAATACTTTAATACTCTTTTAAAGACTATTCTATTTTTGTTCGAATTGCTGAATTCTATTTTGCCTGCTGTACTTTAAATTCTTTAATACTACAATAAAATTGTTTAATACTACAATTATTTATTTATTTATTATTTATTAGTTCAATTTATATGCCGCCCTTCTCCGGAGACTCAGGGCGGCTTACAATGCGCTAAGCAATAGCCTGCATACTTTTGTGTATACCTGCTTAATAAGGCTTTCGGCCCCCCCTAAGCGGTGTTCTTTTTTTATACAAAGTCAGCTTATTGCCCCCACAATCCGGGTCCTCATTTTACCTACCTCGAAAGGATGGAAGGCTGAGTCAACCTTGAGCCTGGTGAAATTTGAACTTGCAGTAATTGCAGGCAGCTGGTGTTACTTAACAGCACTTTAGTCTGCTGCGCCACCAAGGCTCGTTAATTAAGCCAGAATAGTTTAACAAAAACATAAGATCTAATATTTGATTTCACAGGGAGTCAAGTTATATTGCACAACCCTGGGAGAAAAAAGATATAGTGACAATATTTGATTGGGAACTTGAAAAATATGCAGCAATGATGAAACTAAAAGTATATACAGAAGCTTCTCTAAATTTAAGCAAGAATAGTCCCATATACACTACATAGAACAAAGAAAGGGAAATTAAATGTTTATATTTTTACAGCTTATGTTAATAAATGTAAACTGAAATAAAAATGGATTGGAAATTACTTGTTTCCTTATCTTTTCATTAATTTTAGTATTTACTAATTTAGAGGGGATTTGTCACTAAATTGAAAGAATATATATATAATTTATATTTCGCTAATAAAGAAATAAAGGGAAACTAGTATAGATCTATTTCAAGCTATTTAGCTCTCATCAGCTAGCCATACCTTTACTTGGATATATTCTCAAAAAACAATTCAATGTAGTTTGTCTGAAATGGTTAACTTTTCTTATACTGAGCAATTATTGAATAACTCAAGACATTTAACTTATTGATATTCTCTTCTAGAATTATCTGTTTCAAATAATGTTTGAAAGATATTTCTGGAAGTGTAATCACAACATAAACAGAAATAGTAATTCTAATGACTGTATTCATTAGACAAAATAAAAGACAATCAATGTCCTGGTAGTTTGTAACCATACATTCAAGTGTGCAAGAAGCACTACATTACTTTTGTGACTTCTAGAAATCTGTTATATATACAAATATTAAAAGACAATCTCAGTACCTCACAGATGCCAAAATGAGGAAGATCCTGTCTTTAAACATGTTTAGCACATATGTAAAGCATATATAACACATCTAAGATTACATGGTCATTCTGTGATTAAAAAAAAAAACCCACAAACCTATTTGTCCCTTCTTTGTATTCATATAGAATACCTTCCTCCAATAAAGTTTTTTTCTGATTTGACTCAAAACTGAAATTTTAAAAATGATTGTTGGTATTGTAATTGAGCATGAGCGTAGCCAGGTAACCAAAAACACTGCCTCTATAAAACATACTAAGCAAACAATGTACATTATGACTTAGCATGCTGTGTGAACTCAACCAACTGTTGTTTATTCAAAATACCAGGATCACTTAGGTAGCAGCATCTAACAACCTTGGCTCAAAATCAGACCATGATTAGCCTAGTCGTCGTAAGTTATACATGTAAAACATACAAACGCGCGCGCACACAACCTTAGAAAGCAGCAGTGAACGTCTATAATATTGCCAAGGAAACTACATGCCCAGGTAATCACCCCCAGGAGACAAGCACAACACAAAGAAACCAATGCTTTCACATCATACTGTAGTTAAAACTACAGTTTAGCAACGTTGTGTTAACTCAGCCATTTCCGTCTATAAACTGTGGCTTTTATCTGTCATTGAGTCAAGCCATCCATCCATAACTTATTCAATAAACCAATATTAAACCAACCATTATGGAAATACTAACATTACTCCAATTCCGCGCTCACCACTATAAATATTTTTTTCTACCAGCCATGGGGCTGTCTATCTTTTGGTCGAGAGGAAGTCCCAGCAAAACCACATATTCGCAGTGCAAACTGGGAGACATTTTAGACCAATAGGCGCTGCCCATTGGCTTTCTGAGGCGGAGCTTCCGGGGTCACGATTAAGAGGTAGCGGTTTCCTTCTGGTCGGCCAAAAGGGCATATAAGGAAGTCCCGTCCGGGCCTCAACCATTATCGTCGCCGACTTCAGCAAACGGTGTTGGAAGGAAGAGCTGTAAATAAGTACTGTGGCCCGGCGAGGAAGGGCGGCTAAGCGGGACAAGACGGGTCGGATACGTCATTAGGAGAAACGAATAGGCTGCGCAACAAAAATTTTGATCGTGACCGACTGACTTGTTTCCCTCGGGTAGGTACAGGGACATTGAACTGGACGGGAAGCCCCGAGAGAATAGATTATCCCTGTGATCTAGAACATTAGGAAGGATGCAGCACGGACCTCAAAGTAAATTGAAGTGCCATCATGTTATTTATATCTATATATCTATGTCTGTCTGTGAATCTAAAACACAGTATATCGGATAAGATTCAATCTTAGGCTGAAACACGAGTTGCCTGTAATTGTTATAATTTAAATATTTCTTGTTAGCATCTTCACATTTAGATTTTTGTGTTATATATAACACAAAATATCTAGTTTGGGTTGAAAAGAAGCGAAATACTTTGTGAGCATGTACTGTCTTCTGTCTATAAGAAGAATTCTGTAATTATAAAATTATATACATGGTATTTTCCACTCATTTTTGATATAAATTTTTTACATGAACTGGCTGCAACTTGTCATTGTGCAGGTTTCTTCAAAATTATTCATTCTCTATACTGATTGAGTGATTATATGTCATCAGATTAGCATCAGCTCTTAGTGGTTAGATTGATAAACCTTCTCCAGCAAAAACAAACATCCTGAAACTAATTTGTGTCTTCCCACTTTTTTTGATATGTCCTACTGGTATTTGAGTTCATACACTTCCTTTAAAGTGTAAGCACTTTTAATTGCTGTACTCTCTCTTTCAGGACTATTACATAAACTGATGCAGTTCTCCCCTGGATATGGATCACATCCTCAAAACTATAAAGCTCCCTCAGGAAACTTCTCACAAGTGCCCAGTAAAGCGATTCCTTCACAGCTGGAAAACTATTATGGTGCAGATTATTATTCTCCCCAATGTTCTGTACCAGCACAAAATGCTAATGTCTCTTCTGTGACACCGAAGATGTTAAATTCACAGGGATCACAACACTTGTACAATAGAGCACCTCATAATGCAGAACCACCAGGACCTTTCCAAGGAACAGTACCTCCTGCATCCCAGTTGCATACCAGCATTTCACAGTCATATTCTTCATTTACTGGTCCCTACAACAATTCCGTCTTGCATTCTGCCAGCTCTTCTGTTCCATCTCAGGGATTTGTTGCTTCCTCTAGTCATTATTCCATGCCTCCTGTGTCTAGTGCTGCATATCCTAATATTGTATATCCTCCAATGTCCACTGACAATCCATATGGGCAGATGCCTAGTATCCAGCCTGTGATGGCACATGGCCATTTGAATGCAGCAGGTGCTTATTCTAATCAAACTAGAGCCCCACCTATAGGACCACCCAGAGTTCCTTTGGGCTACACGTCTGCATCATGGAGTGCTCCAGAGCTCCAGTTGGCTCAGGGGAATCATGGCAGCTTTACAGGATCTCTTCCTGAAGCGAACAACACAATGATTACAGGTATTGCATAGAGAAGTTGTATGTGACAGAGAATACAAATATGCTTAAAATGAATTGACTGTTGTACATAAAGTGTGCAAGCTAAGGAGGCTAAATGTTTTTACAAAAATGCTTCATATTTTCAATTTTTTTCTCCTCTTCAGTTTGCTTTTTCTTTCTGAACTGTAATATAAATCAAGTAGCTTGGTGCTGTTAAAATAAATTCTTGGCTTATGTGCAAGATTGTTTGCTCTATCATCCAAGATCATCCATATCTTTAAAAGAATAAAAATTATTTACAGGATAATAATCATAAGCAATATGTTGCCTATAGTAGGCAACACTGATTTGTGCATTATTCTCAGACTGTTTTCACTTTATTGCTTCTTTTTTAAAAAACTGGAAGCTGATTCTTCATTTTCTTGCTGATATTAATTATCCTCAATAGGCTAATTTGTTTTTCAAGTTTGATTCCAAACATCCATTCAATGTTTGGGTGTCTGTAAGCAAATACATGTACAGGTAGTCCTTGACTAAAGTTGACAATTGAGCCCAAAATTTCTATTGCTAAATAGAGATATTGTTAAGTCAGTTTTGCTCCATTTTATGACCTTGCTTGCCACAGTTCTTAAGTGAATAATTGCAGTTAAGTTACTAACACAGTTAAGTGTATCTGGCTTCCCCATTGACTTTGCTTGTCAGAAAGTTGCAAAAAGTGATAACATGACCCTGGGAACCTGCAACCGTCATATGAGTCAGTTGCCAAGCGACTCAATTTTGATCACTTGGCTGTGAAGATGTTGCAATGGCATAAGTGTGAAAAATGGTCAAAAGTCATTTTTTTCACCTCTCTTGTAACTTTGAATTCTCACTAAACAAACTCTTGTAAATCAAGAACTAATTGAATAGAAAGCAAATATGTATAATGAAGCAAATTAATAATAAAAAGATACAAGTCTACACAAATTTTTCAACTCTTTTTGAAAAATTCATTATATTCATCTATTGCAAGGGTGTGAAACTCACGGCGTCACGTGATATATTACAAGTTTCCTCCCCTTTGCTAAACTGGGCGTGGCCAGCGCATGACACATCTGGCCCGCAGGCCTCGAGTTTGAGAGCTCTGATCTATTGTGATATAACAGGCATCAAGAATTAGACGCTGAGTGTAATCAGAGTGGGTTCAGTCATTAAGACGAAGGTTCCACAATCTTCTCTTTCATGAGAATAAAAATTACATTGTAAATATGGGATTTGTCATCTTTGCTTGCTTTTCTTGTATATCATTTAAGACTTAAACAAAATTATCAAACTATATTAATAGTATATTGTAAATGACTCTAATTTTATTACAAACTTTTGAAACCATTATCTGCATGCTTCTGTTCCTGTCATTTTGAGAAATTTCATTCTGTATCTGTTTTTAAATGTTCAGTTGCAGTCACTTCAAAAATTATTTTTTAATTAGTATAAGTAATCCCTTCTAATGTATACTCCCCATGTTTGATTTTTCAGGGTCACCACATTATGTAAATCAGAATATCCAGTCAGTAAAACCTAATCAAGGAGTGGCTTCAGCTGCAACTTCTTCAGTTAAAACATCTATTGTAGAGAAGACAGGAAAGCCCATCACTTCATCTTGTCTTACACAGTCATCAGATTCTTTTCTTCATGAAGGTATAGAAATTGGCTTAAAAAGGAAAAAAAATGATGTGTTCCAAATTATATTTTAATAAAACAGCTATTGGTTGGAATGGGTAATCCTGAAAACCTTGTATAGGCCTGTAATTTTAATATTTGTAAGACTTTAGTTCTAATTTAACTATAGTCCATGTTTTATAATGCATAAATAATGTATGTAACTTATACTATTGTAAGCTGTCCAGAGTCACTTGGGACAGTGAGATGAGCAGTATATAAATTTAATAAATAAATACTACATATTTAATTAAAATATAAGAGCCTGCAATTAATGCACAACAGCATTTGCAGTTATAGAGTCAGAATCAAGTTGTCCCAATGATGATCTTTTGTTTAAATACTGTCATAATGCATGATGTATTTTTAGGAGGATGTACCAATTTATCTAATTTATTTGCTGCCCATCTCACAGTTCAAAGTGACTTTGAGCAGCTTAGAGCAAGATAAAACATACAAACATTTGACAATTGTAAGTATAAAAATGGATTAAATTACAACAATTAAATCTATTTTCATGTATGCACAAAATGTTCTGGGCAAGACAGTACAGAAGTTTTCAGGTTGCCCATGCTCAAACCCAAAATGTCTGTTTTTGGACATCAACCCAGATGGGTTGTTTTATTTCAAGTGGAAGCCAAAATCTGTTTGTTAAGTGTTCTGAATATTTTAGTCTCCTTTAATTGCTATAATTGGAAAATGTATTTTGTTCTTATTCTCATTGGTTTTTTTTTAATTCTCTTGTTTTGGCCATAGTAACATGAGATCAATCATGTCCCTATTGCTGTTTAGCTTTGGTCAGATGTGATATATAATGTTTTAATTTGGAAGTAAAACAATAGGATTTCAAGGAGCGCATAACAGAGAGAGAATTAATATGTCATTGGACAAAAATCTTACTCTAAGAAAGAAATTGCTGTGAGGGCCATTAGATTCAGTGCTGGACTGGAGTTTACATCCAGTTGGCAACCGAAACTCTTATGAACCAGTGCTGCAAGATTTCTGTTGAAATGTGAAGAGATGAAGAGATCGCTGACTAATTAAGGTTTACATGTCTCAACATCTGATCCCTCAGAACATCCACAAATCAAGAAGAATCAGAAAGCCGTTGTATGTGTGTAGTGAGTATAATCTCCAAAAGAACTCAAAAGTTCCTCAATTGGTAGGAGAAAAGGAGCACGTCCTGAGTTCACACGCACACTTAGCCTCAATAAATTCATCCATATATTATCTTTTTTTCACTCCCAGGTTCTATACTAATAACTTACTTTGGTTTGGTTACTTGATTTAGAATTTTTGACCTTGTTATTCATTCATCACTGTTCTCTGCATTTGTTTGAGAAGACTTCGGAGACAGCTGCCAGGAAGAGGTGGTTGGGTTGAGGCTACTACCTCAGGCCACCAGAACAGAGTAAGCAGAGGATTAGTTTTCCTGCATCTTTTCCTGCTTTCTTGTGGTTGTCCAAATTTTTGTGACCCAAGTGGCTTATGCTGAATGCCATTGTTTTTCATGGGTAAAACATACGTAGTAGCTATTCTGAGATTAGATTCCGTTGAAAAATAACAGGCAAATCATTTTAGCTTCTGTTTTTGCTAATGTGCATCTAGCCCCATAGAAGAGCAGAACTTCCAAATTTCAGTGTTTTTGTTTTGGGTTTAAGTTATACAGTATATTGAAGAAATATGGAAGGAAGTTGTATGGTGAGAGCTCTCAGGAGTCATTCTGATTGTTCTCATGTTTATACTTTAGTAATATGTTTAATAATATGCCCAACAATTTTAACATCTATTCCCAATGGAAAGCCAAATGGGTCGTTGAATGCCCAACCTGAAGACCAGCTGGTCAGTGGGCATGGTCACCGGCCAGCTGGTCTTCGGGTTTCTAGCGCTCTGGCGCACATGCGTTCCAGTTTGGGCGCTCGGTGCCGAAAAGGTTGGCCATCACTGGCCTAGATATTGGTATTACACTTAACAAATAAATAACTTTAGTAATAGCTATTGTAAGTTAGTTAGAACTCTCAGTTGTTCAGTTATTCAGTCACTTCTGACTCTTTGAGACTAGATGAACTTCTTTTTGCCAAGATTGTCTCCTGATGACATATGACACATACGTCTTATAAGCTTTGACCTGTGTCATCAGTTTTGTCAACTTGTTTTCTAATGACCTCTTTTGTTATTGCTTTCAAATGATTTCTGTACATCAGGGTTTTTTCATTTATATCTGCCATTTCTTTACATATCTAAAATATTTAAGTCTTATTTTCATTGACCTTCCATTGAGCAGTCTTGAGTTTGCATCATGGAGTGTTGAGTGATTTTTTGTTCTGGTCCAAATTGTTCTCAACAATTTTATTTAGCTTTTTTATGGTCTACATTTCACAGCCACATGTTACAAGTGGGAGAACCATGAAATTGACAGTATTTACTTTTGTTATTAGCGTGATGTCTCAGGGGTTACATTTTGTCTAAATTTTTCACTATAAATGCCTGGTACCTAATCAACACATACCCAAGGGTATTTGGAAAAAATAATTTGAATGTTGGTCATATCTTGAAACATGTTTCAAAATATATATCTATTTTAAATGTTTAAGTGGAGCCTCCTTTCATAAAAAGTCATGTACACTTTATGCATTCTAGTTGCTATAATTAGAAAGATTTAGCAAAATATTTTTCATTTCCATTGCTGACAAACCCATTTCTTCTCCTTTCCTACATCATATACAGTAATATCATATGTAATATGTAATTCAGTAATATGAATATACAGTAAATGATTGTTTCTGTATAATGAAAGTTGTAATTTTCAATTTAATGTTATGTGAAAATGAGGACACTCTGGAGATTAAGGAAAATACAATGATTTAAAAATAATCACATTGAAAATGCATTTTAATGATATCAAAATGTTCTATCTAATAGTTGATTACTGTTCATTTCCAATTAGGAAAAATTAATTTAAAAAACTTCCTGAAGGAGATTTTGGTGTATTCTTGGGTTTGTTTGTTTTTTTCTTAAATTCTCAGACTTGCTCTTCAGGCTCCTTCTTGCTAACTTCCAGTTTCATGTACAGATGTGCATGAATTAATATTATTATTTGTTTAATAGTTTTGTAGACGCTATATTCTTAGACTGTCAATTGCTGTAAGTTGTTGCTTGCAAATAAAAGCCGAGGGTCATCTCTAAGGCCAGATATATACAGGTTTTTCTATATCGGCTCATATTGCACACCAAGCTTTTGCTATTAGCCTGATACAGTTTCTTTTACTCTTAACTGGAACTCATTGAGTTGATGTAACTTTAAGGTTTATTCAGATGATCAGTGATCCACGACTATCCATCTACATTCTTTAAGAATTTTTCAGAGAAGACTTTCTCAGTTATCTTGATCAAGAAATCACCTGAAGCTTTGCTGAAGTGCTTCACTTCTTTTCTTTGCTGATAAAAATAAATGTAAAATAAACTCACCATTTAAAGTGTCATTTTGGGGGAGGGGGAAAGTGAGAAGAGTCTTCAGAAGCTGTGGAATAGATTTTGATGCTAAGGATTACCTAGGATCTCTTGCAAAAAGTCCTTGACTGTCTGGTTTTGAAACTAGATGGGCTTTAGTAGTGAGATACTTCCAAGACAATGGATATTTAGACTTGAAAAAATTCCCCTGGTCTCTATGCCAAGACTGATGGATTGACATTGCTGGTTAATCTTTATTATTTGTTATTCCTTTCATTGATATACTATTACCTCCCAATGGCTTTCAGTCATAAAACAAAGCACAGTATAGTTTAAAAGTCACCGTACTATTCAACATAAACCAGAAACAATAAAAATTGTAGAATCGGGTGCGTGTGTTAGATCAATGTTTCTCAACCTTGGCAACTTTTAAGTTCTGTGGACTTCAACTCCCAGAATTCCCCAGCCAGTATTCAATACTGGGAGTTGACGTCTACATATCTTAAAAATTGTCAAGGGTGAGAAAGACTGTTTTATACTTCTACATCAAGAGCAGTGATTTCTCAATGTAACTCGATAATTAAACAATTTTGACTTTTTAAAATCTCTAATGATGGGTAAATTGTGTTCTGTTCCACTACTAAGTTTCTCTGCCTGTTACTAACACCACAGCATTTCAGAACTGGTGGTTAACTTCTATAAAGAGAACTTCTCTGGGGTTAACTAGGTTGCTCTTCATGTTAGTGTCCTTTGTTGTGCTTGGATTGGTGTTACCTTAATGCTTTTATTCGTGCTTTCAATTTCTTGCCTTTCCTGTGTGTTTGACTCCAGTATTTGTGCTTTCCACTTTTACAGGCATGCAGTATGGTGGATATATTAATAATCAAGCTAGCTCTTCAGCAACTCCCTTGTCATCAAGTTCAGATGATGAGGAAGAGGAGGATGAGGATGAGGAAGCAGGTCTGCTTTAGCTTTGCACCAGTATTTCTAACTTTTCACTTTTGATGGCATTATTCCATTTCTTCAGTGCAAGTAATTCAAACAAACAATCATTTTGGAGCCTAAATAATATGCATTTAAGAGTTGAAAAGATTTGTACAAAAGATGCCAGGGCTTCATTATGGAATTATTTTACATGTTTAGATAGAGGTTAGTCACATGTAATTGAATAGAGCTTACTTATTTCAGTATAAATGGCTATAAAAATGAGCATCTCCTTCATTACAAATAGGTTTACAGTATTTGATATAATATGTGTAGTTTGGAAGTGTTTTTTTAAAAATATCATTTTTTCCTTTAGCATCCCTGTAAATACTAAATACACGTTGCTTTCTCATTATGGAAGCAGTCTTTCCATCTTACTGCTAAGGCAAATATGTTAACCATTGCCAATACATTACATTCTGCCTTTCCTGAAAAGGACTCTGTCTATCATATGTAGATTATTTCAGTTTTAATAAATTTAGGCAAGCATCTGAGAAAAATGAATTTGAAGAAGCTTGAAATCAAAAGATGATTGACTAAAGCTTTATCTTTAAAAAGTGTACCTACAACATAAATATGAAAACGAACCTTTTTTAAAAAAGTAAAAAAAACAGTTTTTTTAAAAAATGGAAGAATGTTAATAAACCACGTACACCTATGTGTAAATATTTTGTATAGACTGCCCCAATATGTATGGCAATATTTATATGCTTAGCATATAAAAATGTGCTTTCAATAATATCCTAAAGATTTTGAAATTTCAGTGCCATTCTCAAGCTAAAATTGTTCTGTTTTTACTTACGCACAGGTTTATTCTTTTTCATAATAGAATGTAAAAGTCTCCTTTTACATTCTATGTATATTTTATGTGACATAAACTAAGGAAACTGTCAGTTTCCTTATTTTATGTCATATAAAATGCTATGAATCACCAGTGCCAGATGCTAATATGTAGGGACACGTTTACTAAGTTATATAGTGCAATTAATGTCTACAATCCATTTAAAAGAATTAAAAATTGATATTAATTACTGACGAACTTGTTTAATATACAGTCTCATCTACATAGTAAATGCTAAGAGAGTCAAGTTACCTACAAATCAAAAAGATTACTATGAAATTTCTGTTCCAGTTGCTTTGGTCACCATATTTCTTAAAATTGGTATAGTAATGGAATAGTGTTCCATCTTCTATTATTCTGATTATCGAAAGACTGAATAAAAAGCACAAATGAATTAGAAAATGTATTCATAATTGAGGTGGGATAGCTATAAGATTGTCCTACCTCAAACATTTTATCCATTTGCTTACAAAGTTGGAGAATTCAATGCAATGTGAGAATTTTTCTAAAGTACTACAAATGTATTGGAGATTATTTTAAACTTTGAGAATCTGCTGAAATACAAAAGTCTGATATAAATACTGGAATGTTGATACTGAAACCTAATTTTTAATTTGGTTTTCAGTTTTATCTTTTTGCTGAAACCCATCTGGCAAATGGCAGGTAGTATTGACTCACCTTCTACACAGCAGATGTGTAATATCCCAGTATAATAAACAATTGTTATACATCGGACATTGACACTGGAATCTTTGTAAATTTCTAGGAAGTAGTAAAGGTCATTTGAGTTCAATAGGACTTACTTCCTGGTAAGTCTTTATAAGAAAGCAACCTTTGAGTTGAATGCTTCTGTCATAATTAGTCAAATTACGTCTATAAATGGTGATTTTTTTTTTACCATAATCTTTTTAGGTATATAGCCCACCAACCTCTTCAGGCATGTGTTTGTGTCAAATTTTCTCTGCATGTTTATACTTTGTTTTGTGGATCTAATGGCTGGAAGAACATGAACAGTTCAGATTAATGTTTTGAACATAATGATCCCTGATATTTTGCACTTTTAACAACACTCAGCAAAGAGCACAGTATGGTTTGTAATAGTCATAAGGCCCCATCCTCTGCCCAAATTTTTCCTTCAACAGAAAAATCTTTCATTGGATGAAAGAAAATTTTGGAGCCCCTCTGTGTGCGTTGTTTGCTGCACATTTATTGCAACAGAACTCCTGCATGGATTAACACCATTGTGTCTTTGGTTTATAGTTACTTAATATTAAAGAATATTTGTGTTTGTATTTCATGATATGACCATGAAATGTCTCTTCATAAAGAAGGTTATTCGAATATGTATAAGGACACAAGAAAAATCTGCACTAAGGGAATCCTTTGCAAAAAGTCCTTGATTATCAGTTTCTCATAGCATTTGAAATGCTTCGAAAGCGTAACAGGTTCTATTGCTCTTGTTCATCTTTGCAAGTGATTCTCTAACTCGGAAGTTTCTGAGTGGAGTGACCTAATATGTAGATACTATCTTAAAACTTACAAACAAGAATAAACATGGGCTAACTTTTCAGATTATTCCTTTTTTTAATTGGCTTTTCCCATGTTTACCTTTTTAGTGTACTTAAATATATGCTAATGTACTTGTTCAGTTGACCTCAGCTGTTCTTTACAAGCAGGTTTTCTAGTAACTTATGAAATTATCAATAGATTGCAATTCCCTGTAAGATCTTTACAGTTTCGTAGCAGATAGTGTTATGCATCTATTAGCATGCACTTATTATCAGTTGAATGTCTGTATTTTCTCTCTAGCTATTGACAGCTCTTCCACTACTAGCAGCGCATCTCCTGTTCTCAACAATTATGACACTCTTGAAGGTGATGGCTATCCAGGTGAATTGTGTTCTGTTTAATAATTAATATTATCAGTACCACTTTTTAAAAATCAACTTACAGTAATAAGGCCAGCCACATAGTTGTATCTGATCAACCTTTACGAGACTCAAAAAATTAATTAGGAATAAAGCCAGGGGTGGTATTCACTTACCTTCACTACCGGTCCGCAAATGTGAGCATGCTCTGCATACGCAGAGTGTCAAAAATGGGACGGGATGACATCTGGGCAGGTGGGCGGAACCTCCTGCAGCTGCCGCTACCGGTTCACGCGAACCGGATAGAACCGGCTGAATGCCACCACTGAATAAAGCTTGTTAATATTTGGGTGGAAGATCACTAGGAAGTTCCAGGGCTGTAGGCTAAATTAGGAAGTTAAAAACCTCCCAAAAGAAGACTGGCAAAAAAAGCTTTGTATTATTGCCAAGTTATGTAAATAGAAGTTTTCACGAACGAGCAAATTCTTGAAGGAACTAAGCATGTCATAAAGACTTTGTTACGTAAGTATAATGATACTAGCTCTAAGCATAAGATATTTATGTAATTTTGTGATGGCAGATGAACAGGCATCAGAAATAGAGTCATATTTCCTAATTTTCTCACTCTGCTTATCAGCTATGCCTACCACAGAGAGAGAGAGAAAGAGGCAGATTTCTGTTTGGGGGAGAAAAGTAAATAAAAAGCATTTAGATCCACCTTTCTTTAGGAAGTTTGCCAGCATTTTATTCTGTCAGAGTGATCTGTGCAGTTGCAAATTTCATTCTATTCTTAAAAACTTGCAAAGATGGTAATTTATAGAGCCCCTGAAATTTATAAATATGAACAAGAAATCTAGCTTTTTCCTTTCAGGCTACGATGTATCTTTTTAATGGATGATGTCAAAGATGCTCATTTATTATATTGCCAAAATAGAACTTCAAATCAAATGTTATATTCCATTTATACCCTTACTTTTATCCCCTGTATCTTAAAATAACTTTGTTTTAAGACTACAATTAAATGAAGAGTAAAGATAAAAAGGTAGTTTTGTAAAGTTAACACCAGTTAAATATAAAAAAGAATTTGTTCAATTCTTTGGCTGTTTGGTTTGAAATCATTTAAAATGTGTTAAAATCATTGTTTCGAATGTGTCCATTTGGGAAAAAAAGATATACAGGATTTGTTTCATTGATTTGGAAACAAATTCATCTTTTTAATTTTATTCATTAAATGATATATAGAATGTGTAAGTCTACAGCTTTGCTAATAATAAATGCATAATGCTTCTATACTTGGCTCGGTGTATTTTGATGCTTTGTGTTTTATAAGAAAGAAATTTTAACCTTTTTTTTCCTGTTTAGAAACATGTTCTGCGGCAAATAGCCCACCTCCTATTTCCTCTGTTCCTCAGATGTCTAAAGTCTCCAAGTCATTCGGTTGTGGGTATCCGCCTCTTCAGCCAGGATACCAGAACGTGACACCATCTTTGCCATCTCCTGCCATGCAACCAAGTAGCTCTGGATATAATTCTGGATTTTCGCAGTATCCACAGGTTAGGAATCCCGAAAACCTTATATCCATGATGACACTTGCGTCAAATAAATTGAATAAGAAAATGTTTCATTATGCATGATTAGGCTTAGAATGTGGATGCTTTGAATTAGAAAATTACTTTCCATAGTTCAGTTAAAGGAAAAGTTTATTCATATTAAATGTATGCTTTATGTTTTTTTATTTCTTTTACCTGTTTATTTGGACATCGTAATCTGCCCAACATCTACTGAAACAGCTAACTATAACTAATTTAATAAAGTAAATGAGTACATAAAAAAAAGGTTTTGTTTCCCTAGCAAAAGAGAAGATTCAAAATGTTTATAGCAAAGAAAATCTTAATTGAAACTAGAAACTATATTCTGTAATATTTAATTTTCCACAAGTTTGTAATAAAGCATTTTTTCAAATTATGTTTTAGATGATCTAAGAAAGGGTAGGGGGTGTCAAATGCCTCTAAATATTCAAAAACACAAATGTATACAGATTGTAAAGATGAAAATGCTTTTCAGTAGATCTGTGTACATCTAATTTACATGTGTATGAGTTTGAAAGGAGATAGGGGGAAAATGGCTTGTAGGCTGAGGGAGAGATGGCTGTGGAAGTTGGTAAAAGGTAGGTAGCTGACCTCCTCTGCCATAATTTCCCTCATAATCCCATTACCACCACTATTACCGCCAGGTTTTCATTTTGATTTGAAAATTGGGCAGGGATGGGCCAGAATGTTTATTCCTCTGACTTTTGATACAGGATTGCTTTTGCTCCCTCTCAATTTTTATTTTACTCAGCAGATGATGAACAGCTGTTATGAAGAGGGCATTTTGCTTTAAAGGAGACAGGGAAGGGTGGGAATGAGCTTCTAAAGTGATCTTCTGAATCGAACCCAGATGGAGATGGCAAATTAAGTACTGTGGCATAGGAAATAGGAGTTGAAGTTCTGGAAAATATTATTGGAGGATGTGAGGAAAAGGGTTGAATGTCTATTTTAATACTTTTAAAAAATGTCTTTTTTCAGGTATATCCTACCATGAATCAACTATCAGCTAGTTTGGGAGGACTTGGGATACAGCAGCCAGAAAGTCTGAGACCATTGAATCTTATTCAAGAAAGAAATATTCTACCTATTGCTCCAGTTTCACCTCCTTTGCCTAATCTGAACTCTGATCTGAAAAAATTGAACTGCAGCCCAGAGTAGGTATTACATGACAATTTTTTGCATGCTTGCAGTTTAATTCCTCTGAAAAATTGGTCTTAGGATGCGCCTGGTTCCGTTTTTCAACAAGAGAAATTCAGTCACTGTATAGATACTTTGGATATTTGCAGGGAGGCAAAGGATGACATTTGTGTGACTATAGAATCAAATACCACAGGTTGCATCGAATGTCAGGACACAACTCCAGAAGGGTAGTATTTGCATAATGATATCACTGCACAGATGGTGTCATTTTCACTTCATCATGGTTTGCTGTGGTTGCCACTGATACAACTCACTTTGAAAACTATTCTGAAAACATTTGACTAAAGGGAATTAAGAATACTTCTTTTTAGTCTTTCCACATTTTATTCTGAATCCTGTAGAACAGGAGTCCCCAACCCCCAAGCCGCAGCCCACTACTGGGCCGTGGCTTGCTCAGAACCGGGCTGCGTGAGCAGCTGGCCGGTGCACACAGCTTGACTTGTGCGAACGGTGATCTGGCGCACATGCGCAGCTTGGCTTATGTGAGCAGCGGGCTGGTTCCCCTCTTCCCTAGCAGGCTGCCAAGCCGTAAAAGTGGGGGCCGCTGCTGTAGAATGACAAATAGTGAAGTCAGATATGAAGCTATTACATGTGAAGAGATTTTCACTGTTATCTATTTCTCAGTTAAAAATTGATATCAATGCTTATTATCAGGTCAAATCTGTTAATGGGTTTAATTTTAAAACCTAGGATTTAATCTGAGCAAAGAAGAATTTAGTATACATATTTTGGTTGGATGAAAGTACAAAGCTGCCCACTGCCACTTGTAACTGCTTGAACCATTAGGAGGGTCCATTCTAAGTTTTTTTTCTCTCTAACCATTAAGCTACTGGGGGCTCCTTCCTCTCTTGTCTGATTGTTTCCTAGGTAGCATCTCTTCCTCTTTCCCTAAGGTCCTTTCCACATTCCTATACAGTCATCCTCTCATGACTGAAGGTAGCAATTCTAACTTGTTCATTCTGGACATACAGCCCCTGCTCGAGCAGCAGTTGGATGCTATGGCCAGAAGACTTTCTGCCCAGCTCTAGATAGACATATTTGACTTTTCTTAAAGCCTGAAGTCATTGATTGGGCAAGAGAAGATATATAATTTTCTATTCCACATTTCATGTATATGTCGTAATTTATTTTTGTATTTCAAAACATTTGCTCTACTAATAAATTGCCAGTTTAATCTCAGTAGGCCTTCTCCAATACATTCAATGTCTCTGGAGTTTCCAGGCCACAAGAGCAATGAACTTACATGATTCTGGCCTGTGTAGGATTTTTGGCAAGCTCTGTAATATAGCTCTTGAACATTTAGGATTTTTTTTCTATAAAACAATCGGTACTATTGTTCAAAATAATTGACATGTGTATTTGTGATTTTTCTGTAGCTCGTTTCGATGCACTTTGACAAATATTCCTCAGACTCAGGCACTTTTAAACAAAGCAAAACTTCCCTTGGGGTTGCTACTACATCCTTTCAGAGATCTAACGGTAAAACAACTTTTTATTGCCCCAGGTTTTTATTTAGCTAAATTTGAATAAGGTGATCATGTATTTTGATTTATATATTATAGAAGTACATAAATTTTGTGTAATACAATAATAGTTTTTAAGTGATGGAAGCTGTAAATTGTGTTGGCTGTTAATGGGTCAGATATCTACTGTGTTTCCCTGAAAATAAGACCCTGTCTTATATTTTTTTAAGCCTTGAAATAAGCGCTTGGCCTTATTGCCATGCGCTCAAAAGCCCGATTGGGCTTATTATCAGGGGATGTCATATTTTTGGGGGAACAGGGTAAACAAAAATATACCATTGAAAACTGGGAAAATATTTTCAAGCCAATATTGACATTTACCGATTTAAATGTATTTACTTGAATTCAGTGATTTTCAATAAACCTTGAAAAATTAATTCACAATGTTAGTTTGTGTAGTATTGCCTTCTATGGCTGGGCTCTCCAGCTTACTACTTGTTAACTTACTACAGAAGAATAGTTGTTTCTAGTACTTAATTTCTGAACAGTGCATAGTCAACGTAACATTTGTTGCTGGCAATTTAGGATAAAAGACTTATGAAAACAGTTTCTCTCAAATTAATTCTAGAATTTTGTTGCTTTTTTAGCAATTGCCTGTGATAACATCAAGCACCATTGTGAGGTGTAGATCATGCAGAACCTACATCAATCCTTTTGTGTCTTTTATTGACCAAAGGAGATGGAAATGTAATCTATGCTACAGAGTTAATGATGGTAAGTATTAATCCTTCTGCAATATACCCAATGCCTCCGGAGTTCCAACTTTCTCAGTTCAGTATCAAACAATCTTTTTCCAGGTATCGTAACATCTATGTTTTTAGAGTTGCACGCTGTTGTATTTCTAATTTAAATAATTATATGTGCTGATTTTTCTATTTGGTTTTATTATGCTGATTTCTTCATTTTTTATTATTTAAATGACTTAAATGCAATACATTTATTTTATAATTTAGTTCCTGAAGAATTTATGTACAATCCTCTAACAAGATCTTATGGAGAGCCTCATAAGCGTCCAGAGGTCCAAAATTCTACCGTGGAGTTCATTGCTTCTTCAGACTACATGGTAAGTTTATAGTTTTAAAAGGTAATTATTTTATAGGTCCATATAGATGTAAAAATAGGGGGCTACAGAAATGCAAACCTATATATAGCTATATATAGGCTATAACAGATCTAATAAGCACATTAGTAAAAATCAATCTTATCTTACAGCTTCGTCCTCCTCAACCTGCAGTATATTTATTTGTGTTTGATGTGTCCCATAATGCAATAGAAGCTGGATACTTAGAAGTTGTGTGTCAGTCTTTGCTGGAAAACTTAGACAAGTAAGAACTTTCTGTATTTATTGGACACAACAGTACTTACTTTTTAAAGCATAAGGAAGATTGGATGGAACTTGTGGGTTTTTTTCCACTTCAAATGAAGTGTCTAACGACACTGAAGTGTCTATAAAGTCATGGTGGTGCAATGGTTAGAATGCAGTATTGCAGGCTAACTCACTGGTCACTGCCAGGAGTTCGATCCTGACCAGCTCAAGGTTGACTCAGCCTTCCATCCAACCGAGGTCAGTAAAATGAGGACCCAGATTGTTGGGGGCAATATGCTGACTCTGTAAATCACTTAGAGAAAGCTGTAAACCACTAAGAAGCAGTATAAAAGTCTAAGTGCTATTGCTATTGCTAATGATAATGTGACTTCTAAGTAGTTGTGGAACTGAACTCCTTGGTAAGACTGTGCTATAGGAAACAGCCCCTTTCTTTAGCAGCATGCTCAATGAAAAACTAGGCATTGAGAGCTTAAACTTCTCCTTTTCTTTTTCCATATTTCACCTCACCATAGTTAGCTGCAATTTTACATAGCTAGTTTTCTAATTACTAAACAAGTAGAAGTGGAGGGAGGGTGGGGGGAGAATATGTGAACCAACTATGTTCAGGTTTCATTCATATCTTCTGGGCCCATGACAGAAAATAATTAATAATGTGCTAGATAGCGTTCATTAGGAGAATATTATTTTCTAAGATAAATTAATGATCATTTACTAGCACTAAAACCTCTAGAATATACCTCTGTACTGCAGGAACCTATTTGCTTTTGTTTTATTTTAATACTAAAGGTTGCCTGGAGATACACGGACAAAAATTGGCTTCATAACATTTGATAGCACTGTTCAGTTCTACAATTTGCAGGAAGGATTATCACAGCCTCAGATGCTCATTGTTTCAGAAATTGATGGTAAGATTATCTGAACAGTTGGAAAAATAAAAGTGACACAGAATTCAGTATGAGTTAGCTCACTTTATGATGTTACAGAATATTACAACTATTGTGGGAAAATGTTACTTCAGTTATACTAGTTTGATCATACTGGAATTGAATAATGTTTTCTTTTCCCAATTCATGTTTGCAAGTTAATTTAAAAACCAGTCAGGACAGACTAGGATAGTTTAGGTATAACATATTTGTTCTCATTTGCACATAGAAAAATGTAATTCAGTTGTAGAAGTGCATTGCATTTGTATCTGACCATTTTTGCTATGTTACTATACTTTTAAAATTATATTACTTTAATGTAAGAAATCAAAAGTGAAACATGTCTTCTCCATAGATGTTTTCCTGCCTATGCCTGATAGTTTGCTTGTCAACCTGCATGAAAGTAAAGAGGTAAGAGAAATACAATAGCATTTACAACAATAAATATTAAACTGAAAATATTCATGGTAGCTTCTTTGCTTTTGATTAAATTAATTTAGCATATTAGTGTTTATATTAAGATAAAAGGACCTGCATCTTTCCAACCATGTTTTCATCTTCATCTTAGAATATACATTTTTCCTTTGTTTTCTACAATTCTATATAGTTTAGAGAATCAGAAGAGATTTGATCAAATAAACAAGATGTTTGTGATATTCAGAACTTGATTTAAAATAATTTCATTGCAAGAGAAAAAGGAAGAGTAACTGGTGTAGCACAGATGAAATTTATACAGATAGGTCAGTGTACCCTGGAGGGGGCACCACAGGGCTGTGTGCATGTGAGTGTGTGTTCTGCTCTTGGGAACCTTGGATTTCATTTAGAAAAATCAGATTCATAGATCATGGCTGAATATGGATATTTTTAGAAATCTAGACTTGTATTGAATAATATGCTATAAAAGTATTGTTGAGATTTCAGTGTTCTTGCTCATTTTGTTTCCCAGCTAATTAAAGACTTACTGAATGCGCTACCAAATATGTTTACCTACACAAGAGAAACACACAGTGCATTAGGCCCAGCTCTTCAAGCTGCCTTTAAACTGATGTCTCCAACTGGTGGGCGGGTATCTGTGTTTCAGACACAGTTACCTTCTGTGGGCACAGGATACCTACACTCCCGGGAAGATCCTAATCAAAGATCAAGCACCAAGGTATTTGTTTCAGATAAAGAATGAATTAGATTGGCTGGAAGTGTTTGGTAGAAATATTAGCTGGCATGCTGATGGAGAATCTTCATATTCATTCTAACGAACCAAATGTTGAGTGTTCAAACTGTATGTGATGCTTGATGAAACACTATAATCGTGGTCCTTGCCTTCTTATTTTAGTGGAATACTGCCCAGTGTAAACTGCTAACATAATTTATTTAATCACATAATTTGAACAGATCAAAAAAAGTCATAGAGGAAGATGTTACATAGTAACATATGCAGACTCTCCCTTCTTGTGGCCTTGTTTATTTTTAATTGGCTTTGTAGAATATTTTAATTATAGGTTTTATTATATGTTTCTCATAGTCACTTTGTTTGAGATAGGTGGCAGTGAACTTGAGAAATACAAATCAGAGAGCAAAACAATAATTTATGTTTATATATCTTCACTTCTTAAATTGTTGTTGTAGGTTGAATATCTAAACTATTAATTTTCAGCTTATTTTTAAAGTAACTATCATGTAATATGAGTAACGTATTTAATACCTGGGATAAATACAGGGAAAGAATAAGCCCTTAGTAAGAATTTCCATTGTTGCTTTGCTAGACCTAAGCACAAAGGAATTCACTCGGTGAAAGATTTGTCTCGATAATAAGTTCTAGTTATTAGAAGATCAAAGTAATATTTTTTAAAATCAGGAAATATAATGTTATATTTTATTTATATATAATGTTACATTTCTGTAGATTTATATATAGCTTCAGCTGTTACGTGCTGAAATATAGTCATAACAATCAGATGTTAACCATATATTTAATTTGCAGACAGCTTAGACCAGGGATGTCAAACTAGCGTCATCATGATGTCACGTGATGTGTCACGACTTTTTTCCCCTTTGCTAAAAGGGGGTTGGGCATGGCCAGCACGTGATGCATCCAGCCCGTGGACCTCACATTTGATATCCCTGACTCAGACAAACCCAATTTTGTTCTATTGCATCAATAATCTTACTTTTTGTTGTTGTATTAGGTTGTTCAACATCTTGGACCTGCAACAGATTTTTATAAAAAGTTGGCACTTGATTGTTCAGGACAGCAGACAGCTGTGGATTTGTTCCTCTTAAGTTCACAGTATTCTGATTTGGCTTCTCTCGGTAAGGATGATTAACTTGCAGTTACTTCACAGTTTAACGCTTTGAGGAATCCTCCATGTTACTTTGTCAAAAAAGAAGTATAAAGTTCCAAAACATGTTTGCTCAGATGTATGCATTGAAAGAAAGTGCTTAATACTTCACACAAAAATTTGAAATATTGTAAAGGGATGCGGTCTCATTTTTAAATTTTTATTTTTTTCTATATGATTATTGTGTCGATAGATTGTGTCACATGCCTGATACGTCTCATAATAATTCTGCAAACTTGTTGTGAAGTGTATAAAGAAAGCCCTACTGTAAACTATTTTGAATTCCTAGGGGAAAAAAGCAGAGTATGAGTATCATAAATAATTGGAATGAAGAAAAACACCTAACGTATAGTAAATGAAGCTTACTGTACTTTACAATTGTTCCTTTATGTTGATACAACAATCAGGTTAAGCAGGTATTGATTAAAGGGTTACTTTGGATCTGGACTGAGCATGCCTGCTGTACCTGGCAGTGGTGTCTTAAAAGATTTCCTTGGGACTGGAGTTCTTTCAGGACCTGCAGTAGGTAAAACCAGCCCATTCCAGTTCTAGAATAGCTTCTTCACTTAGATCAGTGTTTCTCAACCTTGGAAGCTTGAAGATGGGTGGACTTCAACTCCCAGAATCCCCCAGCCAGCACTGCTGGCTGGGGGATTCTGGGGAGTTGAAGTCCACCCATCTTCAAGCTTCCAAGGTTGAGAAACACTGACTTAGATCCAAAGACTGCACACAGCTGATATCTAATGTGTATGTTAATATTTCAGTTTTTTTTAAGTACAAAGGGAAAATACATTATGAAATGTCTAAGAGATAGTATAAAAATTAAAATGGGAACCATTGATATCATCTTTATGCAGTTTGCTCCTTGCAATAGTTCTTAACTGTGGTTTCATATGTTGTATCAAAAGTCTTCACCTGGTTTTCTTCAGGTAAAAGCTTGTATTGTTAAGAGTAGTATCAGATGCTAGAGTGCTTCCTATAAACATTAAAAAAATATTATTTTCTGTTTTCCAGATGATAAATATTTGTTTTAAAAAATAGAATATGTGCTGCCTGTATTGACTGGATATTAACCTTTTTTCATCCTCCCCTAAAGCTTGCATGTCCAAATATTCTGCTGGATGTGTCTATTACTACCCATCTTTCCATCATATCCACAACCCTGTTCAAACAGAAAAACTGCAAAAAGATCTTAAAAGATACTTTACACGAAAGATTGGATTTGAAGCTGTAATGAGAATAAGATGTACAAAAGGTATCATCTAGATTTTGAAATAAATTTACAATGTTTTCCCAAAAATTAAGACCCAACCAGAAAATAAGGCTTAGCATGATTTTTCAGGATGCTTGTAATATAAGCCCTACCCCACCCCCCAAAAAATAAGCCTCAGTTAAGATTATCAGCCAGATGGATGCATTTAGTACCATATTTTCCCCCAAATAAGACCTAACTGGAAAATAAGCCCTAATGCGGTTTTTGGAGCAAAAATTAATGTAAGACCCGGTTTTATTTTTGGGAAAATATGGGTAGTTTGGATATGCCAATATCATTCAGAGTGTGTATTAAAAAAAATGATTCATAGTTACTCAGATAAATTAATTTCCTAACCTGGAACCGAGTGCTTTTGTAAGAGTTTAGGGTTATTCTATCACTTCTGCAAAAGAAGATTTATGAAGATTGGTGCACCCTTATCTTGATTATGATTTTTCTACTAATTGAACTGTATTTGAGATAGTATTTTTTTTTCAGACTTAAAATAATACATGCACTATTTTAGCTACTTTTTCAAGTAACATGTTTCTTCATTGTTAGTTGTTTGGAATCAAGGCAAAAGTTTACAAAATTTACAGGGAGATTTTTTTTGGGGTGTGAGTGAAGCCCATACTTACTGTTTTGCACCATTTTCCCCACTACTGTTCACAGTCTCTGCAATTTCTTGTAAATCCTTTTTTCTCATGCCTGTGATGGGTGGGTGGGTGGGAGGGAGGGCCAAAGGAAACAAATGTGTTAAGTGATTCAAATGTTTCCTATCACCAGTAAATATTCTGTCTTCAAATTGGCTGTTGTAGTCTGCAGTATATTTTCTAGAGAGAGAAAGCACCATTAAACTCAGTTAATGTGCCAAGGCTATTAGGTGTATTTATCGTCAGTCTTTGTTATTGGAATGTTAACTTTGCTTTTTTTTCTTCTAGGGCTTTCCATTCATACTTTTCATGGTAACTTTTTTGTGCGGTCTACTGATTTGTTGTCACTTGCAAACGTAAATCCTGATGCTGGATTTGCAGTGCAGATGTCCATTGAAGAAAATCTCACAGATACATCTCTAGTTTGTTTTCAAACAGCACTTTTGTATACTTCCAGCAAAGGTAATTTTAGAGAAGCATAAAATTGTTTCTAATACCTTTTCTATAAAAAAAGACAAAAATAAAGGCTGATGGCTTAGAAAAAGTGTTCCCTTTGATTTGAAGTAGCTGGCATATTGCCCTTATGTGACTAGTAAATGTATATTTAAAAAATTGGATCAAAAATAAACACTGCATATTTATCACTTTGTGGTTGGATCCTAATACAGGTGAACGGAGAATTAGGGTGCATACACTTTGTTTGCCTGTAGTGACGTCCTTGATGGATGTTTATGCTGGAGCAGATGTACAAGCAGTTATATGCCTCCTAGCTAATATGGGTAAGTTGAAAATAAATGTTCAAATATCACATTTTTTTGCAGTTAAAAATACATACATTGAAACGGGTAGGCAGTGGGAAGGCATCCTTCTTCTGCCCTGCCATGGGATTACAGGGACTGTAGTGTTATAATCACTACATCCTGTATATCATAGAGAAATTTTGGAACTGGGTGTGGAAAAAGCTGATATTAAAAAATACTATAAGTGCCCCAAAGGTGCTTTTTCAAGAGGCAACTGGACTTTCTGGTTTTTCTTTAAAGACGTTTCACTTCTCAACCAAGAATGAGAAGCAAAACGTCTTCAAAGAAAAACCTGAAAGTCCAGTTGCCTTTTGAAAAAGGTTGTACCTTTGGGACAACCATGACCTGGATGACCAAGAATCTCCATAGAGATTTAGCGATGCAGAGCTGAAGACGCTTCTTGGATGAGAAGCGAAACATCTTCAAGGAAAAACCAGAAAGTTCAGTTGCCTCTTGAAAAAACACCTTTGGGACAACCATGACCTGGATGACTGAGAATCTCCATAGACATTTGCTATAAATGCCGTAAGCATCCGGCATAGTTATAGAACTCATTTCATTCCTTAGTCGTGGGTACAACTTCTTCCACACCCAGGTATTCCAGAGGGATTCCTGGGGATGGACATTTGTTGATGTGGGCAGCTATAGATGTAATAAATAAATAAACGCCACTGCTATAAAAGAACTATTAATATTTAGTTTGCAATTAGAGAATAACTGTTAGTAACTCTTTTTTAATTGCTTATCACCTTGGATGTGTGTGGTAAATAACACTGTTACTGTAAATGCATGCAGAGAGCAGAACCAATGAGTACAACATACTGATTATTAATGGCAACATACTCAGTTGATATAGACCTTATAACTTCAAATTTTATTTTACAGCTGCTAAGTAAGATAAAAAATAAATTACATTTATCAATTGTAGATTCCCTTTCTGTTCTCTCTAAAAGGGTTTTAGATAATTATGAGATATGAGGTGTGTTTCCTTTAACTCAATATAATTTAGTCTTGTTCATTGTATTCCAGATCAGCTGAATGTTTAATATCTTCAAAGCTATCTAGAAAAATGAAAATGTGCTAGCAGAATATTAATCATTGTACTGGTAAACTTTCATTCTCTCTTTAAATATGGTTCCTTCACAATTATTTGCTACTATTTCATTTTCCACAGCTGTGGATCGATCTGTTTCATCAAGTTTGTCAGATGCTAGAGATGCTTTAGCCAATGCGGTCGTAGATTCGCTGTCTGCATACATGTCAACAGCATCAAACCTCCAACAATCTTCTTTGATTGCTCCATATTCTCTGAGGCTGTTCCCTCTGTATGTTTTGGCTCTTTTTAAACAGGTATAACCTCTGATAAATAGCAATTCAAAAGAAGTAAATGTTAAAATCTGTTTTGATTACAGAAATGTGATGACTTATACAGATGAATAGGTTGAATACTGTATCTTTGTAATTTTGGCGGGTTTTATTGTAACATAGAACGAATAACATGCATCAATTTGCTTAGCTTTCATAATCTCTAGAGATATATAAAAATGCTATTGCTATTCATCAAAACTGTACTTGTAATCAGTGTTTGCAGTGTTTTATAGTAGCAGCTAAGAGACGTTTAATTTTTTGTGATATATATCTGCCACTTAATTGGGAAAATATTCTGCCAGGCAATTGTTATTTAGATGTTCTTAGCCAACCTACAATAAAAACACAATATTTTTCTTTTTCTTCTCATTTTTTTACAGAAAGCTTTTAGAACGGGCACAAGTACACGTCTGGATGATCGCATATATGCTATGTGCCAAATAAAAAGTCAGCCTCTGGTTCATTTGATGAAGATAATCTACCCCAGTTTATATAGGATAGACAAGCTTACTGATGAGGTATATTTGTGTATGTGTGTATATATACAGGTATATATAGTGTATAATTGTTATCTCAGCTAAATAGAGGTGGTCTGGCCACTGCTATCTTTATTTTAGTAGCATCTTGGACAGTTGCATACACATCTTGTGTTCCACTTTTTCACTAATAAACTAGCTAATTTTTCACCTAGTCTTGAAAGACTTGCATTGACTCTTAATGTATTTTGTAGCACAATTCAAAGCATTGGTTTCAAACTTAAAAGTTGTTTCTAGTGCCCAACCTAGATTTTTAAAATTAGGATTATAGTCAAAACCAATTCTGAGCAGAAAGTTTATGTATGTATACACATACATACATACATACATAAACTTTCTGCTCAGAATAAAACAACCACACAATTTTGAGTTATCTGTATTACAGTACAACAAGCTTGAAATTATTTGAGTTGAGTCTGTATTTGAAGAAAATATGTAGAACATTTCCAATATTTTAGTCATAGGAAAAAATAGAAACTCAAAACAAGTTCCTTGTTCCTCATTTTGTTTTGTTTTGTTTATTTGAGGGCTCCAAAAATAGGTAAGCATTTGTTGCTACTAGCCTTTCATCCTGTGGGAAATTGGCCTCCGTATTAACTGTTAAAATCCTATAGAAAACAGTGGAAACACAGATCTCTCATCATCTTCACTGTAAAAATAAATTAACAAAAAAGATTTTGGGGATCTTTATTCAGTAAAGTATCTTTTTTAATTATTTAAATAAATCCCAAGGATTTATCAATCATGACCAGAAAGAAAGAGCTTATCTCATTAGGTATTTTCTCTCATTTAGAATTTAACAATATATTTATGCTTGAAAATAAATCAGGCAGGGAAGCAAACATAAATTTTACTGTTTCCTTTTTTTAAACTGCATCAGAAATGAAAATGCCTTGCAGCAATAAGTACAACACTATAATATAATGGCAAAGATTAACCAAAAAAAAAAAAAAAACCCACCACTGCAGTTGTTGTCAGATGCAAAGGATCAGGACTACATGTTAAGTTGCAGCACAGAAGATTTATTCAAACCTATACACAAGAATCCAGTCAACTAATGGCCAGCACTAAATTGATGCTAGATAAGAGTTGAAGGAATTTAGGGAGGAGGGGGGAAAGGCTGGACTAGGATTGTTTGTGGCAATATAAGGACTCTAAGATGATGACACATTTAAATCCACTCCCTCTCCTAGCTCTGCTGGCTGTTCTTTCACAGTTGTTGCATTTACAACTACCAGTAGCAAACAACGCTAAAATGCATTCTCAGGTTCAGCGGTGCCAAAAAAAAAAAAAATCAACTATACAAAAGTTCAGCATGTGTTAAAAAGTAAAATTTTATGCTTTTTGGGTGGGTGGGGGGCCTTTGGATGAGCACTCATTGCCCCAGTACTAAATTATTACAATGGGACTGAATTATATTGTGAGTTTAATTGTATTATCCTATTTTAGGGTGCAATACATGTCAATGACAGAGTTGTACCCCAGCCCCCTCTTCAGCGATTGTCTGCTGAGAAGTTGACAAGAGAAGGAGCTTATCTTATGGATTGTGGCTTGGTGAGTTGCCTATTTAAAACTTTATTTTTCATCTCTTTGATACAGTAGTTTCCTGTGCTCATCTCCTCATTGTATTGTGTCTTTAAATCAGTTTTAAGCATTATTTTATCCCAATAAAATCTTGATGACTTCATATGTTATCAAAGAAAAATGTATATTTTAATTACTTTGTTTCTAACACGTTCTAGATCCTCTACATTTGGCTTGGAAGAAGTTGTGATAATAACTTCATTAAAGATGTGCTTGGATATCCAAATTATTTGTCAGTACCTCAAAAACTGGTAAGAACCTATTTTAAATCCAGCTAATACTTCCAAAGATGAGGCTATAGATGAGTCATACAGGCCTGGAAATGAAGTAGTTCTCAGTCCATATTAGAGCTTGCCTGATTTTGATTCCTATCTTTATAATTTATTTTCTTATTTATGATGCAGACAGTTCTTTCAGAACTTTGTTTATAGAACGGCAACATTTACATAAGATGAAAATAATAAATATAAATTATATTTTATCACAACATTCTGAAAGTGTAATAAAAATATCACAGATGCTGTTTTGAATATCTAATACAACAGCATATTATAAGTGTTTAATTTTACCACATTGCATTTTTCTAGACACAGCTTCCAGAATTAGATAATATTTCTTCAGAGCGAACCAGGTCCTTTATAACTTGGCTGAAGGATAATAAATCTTTAAACCCAGTACTTCAAGTAATTAAGTAAGTATTCATATATAGTATCCAAAAGGCAACATCACTTATATGAAATAGGAGGTTTCTGGCAAATTGTCCTTTGAACAGGTTTTTAAAAGAATGTGTTCAGAAATGCTATCCCTGTTTAAATGTGTAATTACTTGGCAGGTTTATAAATTAGTTATTGGCCAAATATTTCCTGAGTTGGTACATTTGAAAGGCATCTGTTATGAGGGCTTGAGAACAGTAAGTAGGAATTGAGAGGGATTGGTGGGTATGATTGAAATGACACTGGGATGTTTCAGAATATTTACCTAGCTTTTTTCTTATCAATTATCGACTCCTGTAGATAATTTTTATTTTTTCCTCCATGTTTCAGGGATGAAAGCCCAGCGAAGACAGACTTTCTTCAGCAATTAATTGAAGACAAGACAGAGGCTGCATTTTCTTACTATGAATTTTTGCTTCACATTCAACAACAAATTTGTAAGTGAGAGGAAACAAACAGAAGGGGGAATAAATCCCTGTATGGACTTTTTATCCAAATGTCACCTGTCAGCGAAGCACACTGGAAGTGATTAAAACCAAGCATAGATTCCTTAGTATCCATATACAAAGACTTTCAGTTGTGAAAGGACAAACTACACATTGCCAGATGAATTTTACAATTCTGCTTTGTTATAAAAACGATGGACATGACACAATAGTAGTAGTATGTTTTCAGTTGGTTTTATATGCATTTCCAGTAGTGCAACACTATGGCATTTCTTCTTATTTCAAGCTGGTGGTCATATGTGGCAGTGTGGAATAGTATTTATTAATGAAATTTAAAACCGGAGAGTCTCTTTCTCAGCATCTCAACATTTAACAGCCTTTCCAGATGATCTCCAGCAGAGATGCCAAAAGGCAGAGCTCCATGTTGTTTATATCAATTTGTAAAAGAGATAATTCACTTTTGAAAGCTTAACCATTTTCTCTGTGAAGAATATATACAATTTTAATACAACTTACAAAATTGTAGAAATATGTATAATGTACAGAAGTGTTAACATTTGTAAAAAAAAAATGTTTTTTAAGGAGTATGAATTGCTTGATGGCTGTGGTGCTGGTAGGTCAGTTACAAACCACTTATCTCGGTTAAACAATAAGTTGGCTAGCGCATATTAAAACAGATCCAAATCCACATAGGAAAATGCAACTTTGTAACTCATTTAATTGGTCCTTTTATGTGGATTTATTTATGATCAGCTAATTAAAAGTATTTGCTTGATCATGTGTTTTTATCTCTATGTGATTACTGCATTTTAAACACCAATACCAAATTTGTCTTGCTGTATTAAAGAATGTTTATTACTTTATAGGCCTCCTGAAAAGAGGCTAGTGGGAATATTGAATTCAGGTTGGGATTTTGATTAGAGATATATTGGCTTGTGACACTAACTAGTGGCAGCTAGTGTCTTTTAGCCTTAGATTACTTTAGGTATTTTTGCAACATTTTAGGGTCCTGGATTCTTCGTTTTCTCATCCCATCACCATAGGATGTTAACGAAAAACCCAATTGAACTTAAAAATGGATGTTTCTCCAGCAGGTGATCCAAATATTTGTCCGCATTTTTCTTTTTTTTTACGTTAAAACTTTCGTGCACATAAAGTCTAAATAGGGCTATTGATTACACATTTGCATTTTATTTCTTAAAAAGAAGTAGAGCTATAGAATGAAATTTTATTTTTAAAATGATTTCTTTTTTAAAAAAACAAATAACAAGCACTAATATATTCTGAGAAATATCTATGTCCCAATATGTTTCTACTTGTAACAATGTGCTTATGCAACAAAGTTGTTCAATTATTTTTCAATTTTCGTTTTATGAATACTCAGTCCGGACACTACATTTTCAGTAACTTTTACTAAAGCATGCCAAAGGATTTCTCAGAAAAAAAAAAAAACAACTGCTTCTTTTATTTGTGGCATATGTTAGGTATCTATCAAAGTATGTTGCATCAGAATTAGAAGCATACACTTAATACTTTAAACTTAAATAATTCATGTTTTAAAGAGATATAATGCCTCAAATATTTTGGTAAATATATTGACTGAAAATGTATGTTATATGGAACCATAAATGTGTCAGATGCATTAAGTGTGATTTTAACAATTATTTTTTGAAAAAAAATCTTGTGGAGCTTAGTACTGAATATTCAGAAACATCCAAAGCCATGATGTATGGTAGATGAATCTGTAAAACAATACTTAAAGTTTTATTCTTCTATATTTTATATATAAAAATTGTCATGAAAAGTACACTTGAGCAGTATTTTGCTTTGGGTAAGATATTTGCTGCCTCTTAGATGGAAAATATTTAGCACTTGTAATCCTTCCTCATAGTTCACTATAACCAAAACATAAAGATGGGTGAGTTCAGGTAAGTGCTACATACAGTTACTAGCTGAAATTCAGCATCATAAATTGTAAGAGTTTTTGCAAATAAAGGTCATTCAATGCCTTGTGATTAAAATTAAAAAAGAGAAAATTGATAGAATGTTTTAGTTTTATTTATGGTGCAGTCCTATATCTTATATCATATTCTACTCAGGAAAAAAAAATTGCTCCATTGAATTCAGTGGTAGTAGCTCCTCATTTAATTCTATAGACTTGTTGCCTCAATTCTGCTTATGCAATTTCTTTTACCACTTTTACTGGTTCTTTGGGAGTTATGCAGAAAAGATGAAAAGTTTGTGGTAGTTTTGGTAAGTATCTCAAGTCAGTGTTTTTAACTTTCTCTATAACTGCTAAACTAGGGGTCCCCAACCGCTGGGTCATGGCCCACTACTGGGTTGCGGCCTGTTCAAAACCCGGCAGTGGGACAGATAGGCACACATGTGCACATGAAGATTCATTGCGCGAGTGGTTGTGTGTGTGAAGCTGCATTTGCGTGAGTGGAGTTTGCATGCAAATACCCTCCACTCACGTGAATGGTACTTCACAAGCGCCCTCCACTTGCGCGAGTGGAGCTTCGTGCATGAGTGCAAACATTCTCTGCTCCTGCCCAAAGCTCCATTTGCACAAGTGGAGGGCGTGCATGGCCACTGCTTGCACACATGTAGCTGTGTGTGTGTGTGTGTGCGCGCACGTGCGCGCGCTGCCACTCGTACCCCCCCTCTGCCCCGGGCTGGGTCGCCAAGTTGGAAAGGTTGGGGACCGCTGTGCTAAATCAAATATTTGAATAAAATACTTCACAGGTGGATAGGATGAAAGTGGAGAATGGTGAGTGAATATCAGCTCATTGGTTTCTATTTTGAAGCATGCCCTGGACTAAAATCTGGTTGCCCAGTAGACTGTGCAAACCCAACCTGTATGGTTGATTTATAGTTAATCGGTTAGTTATGAGCTAGTTTCATGTGTGTATGTTCACATAGCCACTGCCTTAAACACAATTTTGAAAGTTAATAAACCCTTTTCTAAAAGATTCTGTACTTGATGGATTCTTTTGCTTGATTTGAATTTAGTATTGATAATAAGCATGTTGACTGTTCAGATCATTTCATATGTATAATCTTCATGCTAGCACGGTATTTTCTGCTAAAATTGTAAATGTGAATCAATGTATAAGTGAGCCAGGAAGGTAGTTGATCCTGCTAGCTACCATAAGAGTGATCAGTTCTATTGCCTCTGAATCATTATGATTGAGGTGGTGAATTTATGCTTTGTAGTGGCATGCAGTAAATACATTCTCATAAAGCAGGAAAGCAGGGGCTTTTTAGCTTGTTAACTGAATAGATTTTGTGTATTTAGAGAAATTACATAAGCAGTATTTGAAAGAATTCTTAGCTGAAGTTAATTAAGCTCAAGCTATTTTACGCTCATTGAAAGAAGGTAGAAAATTTTATTTAAATCCAAATGTATTGGTTTTACTGATGTATAGCTGGCAAAATGGAGGGCTCTCATTATCACATTACATGTGCTTATTTAGAAGTAAAGGAGTTTCTAGTAATAACTGTATGCTAATGGTACAATCTCTTGTTTTTTGTGTTTGAAAAGTATGTATCCTTAACAAGCCATGTGTGATGCTTTTGCAGGTCTCAAAATGGAGATACAAGTATAGATATTCAGGCTGAACTGAGCTACTGACTTTACTCTCTGTATTGAGACAAGTAGAAGGGTTAAGCTTGCATATTAAAGAGAATCTTAAATGCCGCTTATTTATTGTTGTCTTTTTCCAAGAGTGTGAAGTATGCATGTTTTAAGTTGAAAATGTCTGATCCAAAGTCAGCAACGTGTTGTATAATTAAATGGGTATCTATCTTCTGGTTTTCCTAGTCCGGTTCTAACTAGTGCATATTCTAGTGGTTTGAGAACATAGATATATAATACTGAGGGGAACCCTATGTGCCATTCTGTTCATCAGATGTGTTGTTCAGTTAATAATTCTAGCCAAAAGTATAACACCAACCTATCTCTATAATCTTTTTGAAGTTAATATGCATATTTGGAATTTTGTGGGTATGTTTGGTTATATCGGAAGGCAGACTATAGACTATATGTATCTACATTTTGATCTGAGATGTTTCATGTAGATAAACATAATTTATGACAAGTGAATCCAGTGGATGCAGCTTTGAATGCAAATTGATCAAAATGACTGAAAATACAGTAAAACTATCCTTTGTGGTCCACACTGGTTTAATAGAATATTTAAAATATGTATTTGGGGGTGGGGTGATGTCCTTCGTACATTATGTAGTTACCCTGTTTCCCCAAAAATAAGACCCAACTGGAAAATAAGCCTTAGCATGATTTTTCAGGATGCTTGTAATATAAGCCCTACCCCAAAAATATACCCCAGGTAAGATTGTCAGCAGACGGAGGCGTTTAGTACTGTATTTCCCCCAAAATAAGACCTAACGAGAAAATAAGCCATAATGCATCTTTTGGAGCAAAAATTAATATAAGACCTGGTCTTATTTTGCGGGAAACACAGTAGCTGTTTTGGATGTTCTGTTAATGTACCTTGCTTTAGGCTATTCCCAAATTGTACAGGTAGTCCTCGATTTACAACCACAATGGAGTCCAAAATTTCTGTTGTTGACACATTTGTTAAATGTGTTTTGCCCCATTTTATGACCTTTCTTGTCATGGTTAAATGAATTATTGCAGTTAATAAATTAGTAATCTGGTTGTTAAGTGAATCTGGCTTTCCCATTGATTTTGCTTATCAGAAGGTTGGAAAAGGTGATCATATGATCTTGGGACACAGCAGCGGTCATAAGTATGAAACAGTTGCCAAGCATCTGAATTTTGATCACATGATCATGTGGATGCTACAAAGGTCGTAACTGAAAAACAGTCAGAAGTCACATTTTTCAGTGTATTCTAACTGAACAGTCACTAAATGAAGTTGTAAGTTGAGGACTACCTGTATATCATCCGTGATACTACTCAAAATAATGTCAGGAAAAATAGTTTGAGCCCACCCACCCCCCAAATTCCCCAAAATGTAGAGATTTAATTTATATTATCAAACCATTGGCAAGTTTCTATTTTGTTTCAAGTAGGATTCAGCATATATTGGAATATAAATGCCTTGGAACAGTATGTGGACAATCGCTTTACACTGATTGGTTGATGGTGAATCCTAGAGAATTAATTCCCAAATGGGAAACTGCATGTAAATGTGACATTTCCCACACAGATTTGTTTAAAGTCAGAGTCTGAAATGTGAGAAACTACTTACATTAGTACTATGTTCTGAGTGTAACTTAAAGAGAATGGATGCTTTTTAAAAAAATGTTTAGGACTTGTGGATATGAAATAGTTTTAAGAATGTGTAGTGCCTGCTGAATCTATAATTGTATTAAGCATGGGTCTTTTATTTTGATCATTTTCAGATATAGAATTGTACAAAAATAATGTATTACACACATAATAGCAGCATTTATAGCACTTTATGTACATATTTAGAACTATTCCCAGATTGTGTATATTAGTTGGGAAAGAATGTATGTTGAAACTGAGTTAGTGACTTGCTTAAGGTTAGTTTGTATATTCAAAGCAGATTATTTGGAAGAGAGGAATTATACAAGGTGTCAGTTCCCACAGGCCAAACACAAAATGTTTTTGTTTTGTTTGTTTAGAGAAAATGTTATTGAACTTAGAAATGTTCAAAAGTAATGCGCCAAACAAGGAACAATTTAGAAGAAAATTGCAACCAGGTCAATATTTAATGTATTTTATATAATAAATTTCTATGGAGCCTGACTGGTTTAACCTAT